CCTTGTATCTCTAAAGAACCAGGAAAAGGCCAGAAATGGAGGTGTGGCCCAAGTAGTAGGTTGTGGGCCCCGTTTTGAGTGAAAAAGCCAAATGAGAGCCAGCCAAAGGCCCTGACTTCCAAACCCCACAGTACAAGAAAAAGAAAATCCCTTCATCTATAGTCCTGACCCTATTCAAGCACCAGATGATACAATCAAGAAATGCAAATGGAATTGTAACAGGCCACTACTGAACAAGTGAATAGGGATGTCAATCTTACTACACTATGCATAGCCTTATTAGTAAAGGGAGTTCAGAACGGCTTGATTTACACAGAAAGGCTTTCACTCCCCGCCCCAACAATATTCAGTGAATTAATTTCCTGCCATATTGCTCAATATAACCAAAGCATATTAATTGGGTTTTGCAGTTTCCCTGGGCCACATTGTATTTAACCATTCTAAGGACAATCATGGTAAATCATGTCACACTGCACTCACTGTAACCATAAGAGAACCAAACAAAACAGCAGGCTCTTTGTCACCAAATGATCAAAAAGCACAGCTATCCAGGCCTAGAGAAACCCCCTCTGCACTGGGCATTTCCAGTATGCATGCCAAGATATTGTAGCTTGTGCCAACTTTAATTCACGTTGACAACTGTGTTTAGGGAGACATATATATTAGAGATTTTCTTTTTTTTTAACTACCATTCTTTTCCCTCTAACAGATAAAATGTGCAAGCAATGTTATGATCACCTGCTGAAATTTAATTATAGTCTTCCCAACTAGCAGCAGGCATGGGCAAAGGATGCAAACCACCAAACAAATTCTCTACAGCTGAAGTGGAAAACTAAAGACAATGGTTCATGTGGCTGTATGGAAAAACTCACAAGGTAAGATCAGTTCAAACCAAGGAAAACTGACAACTATAAAAGATGTCTGCTTCATTTATTCCAATTACAACTTGAAATCCCAATATAGCAACTAATCAAGCAATCCCATTCTATACTAATATAGAAATATGAATGTTTTGTCTTCAACTACAAACTTTGCTTAACATGTTTTAATCTTTTAAGTTTTAGCAAGAGTATTTTAATGCAACAAGTTAAAATAGGGAATTGAGGGGAAAATGACACACTTCTAGCTCCTCATTCAGAAAATGGGACTTCAATACAAAATGGAAGCTGCTATTTACTGTCTTTATTCATTTGGTCCATTTTAATCTTAAAAGGATGCAGTGGGATGCTGGTCCCCCTTCCACAGCTGCTTTTTGCAGCTATGAAAAGGGTAACTCAAATCATTTCCCTCTCTAATTTAGGAGGTAACATGGGAAATTCAGTTGGCAGGCTGCCAAGAGAAACAGACTACAGTCAGAAAACATCTTTTTGCTAGCTCTGGCACACAAAAACCACAAGATACCAATTCACCACCAAAAAGCCAGACGTGGAGGTGTGCTCAAAGTGGTAGAGCACTACTCTTGAGCTCAAATTCTCAGAGACAAGTGCCCAAACCCTGAGCTCAAGGCCCAGGACTGGCACACGCACATGCGCACACACACAAAAGCTGAGCCAAAGCATGAAGTCTTGAGTTCAAGAGCCAGTACTGGCACAAATAAATAATCAGTAAAGATAAATGAAAGCAATATCAGTGAGAAGTATATTTTAAAAGAAACTGAAAAACAAAATGTTTAAATAGGAATATAGGTTGACCCACTGTAACAATGAAATGTGCAAGATACTATGCTGAAAAATGAACTTTACAATTCAGAAAAGTGGGGAGAGGTAGTTATGAAGGTGGGAGGGAAGGGATGGTAGGGGAAAAACAAAGGAGGAGGCAACAATACTTGATAGGAAATGTACTCTTCTGCATGTTGGAATTAGGCTTCACTATCTGAAGTTAATGACCCAGTTTCTGATGAGTTTTTAGTGCAGTAAGCTTAGGATCTGCCACATTACCTTGATCTAGCAAACAAACGCTTCCTCTAATACCCACCCACCACTCTCTCTCTCTGTCCCCATCTCCTAGCCTTTGGCTATTTTTTGGCATTAGATTTAATATTACCCCCTTGGAAAAGTAGAACAAAAATTATTAGCTGAAAAACAACTTGCTAGAATTGCTTTCCATGAATTTGATCACAAATACCTTGGAGAAGGATCCAAACTCTAAGCACAAAAATGTAGGATAGCCTTGGTTCAACTTTGAAAACTGGGTTAGCAATGACAGAAATCTATTTTCATTACACAGAGCACTCTAGAATAATGGTTGGCAGCATTACACCAGCACTAGAGAGCCTCTGGTTACAATTAGGAACATACACACACTTCACTAACTTAGAGGTCACTGGTGTGGGAAGATCTTCCAGTCTTTGGCATTTTAGAAGGCTTATACACTCGAACACAAATGACAATAGGAACCAGCAAAAATTCAGCCTTATCATTACACACGGGGCACATACGTATTCACTTTGGCTTTTACCTTTGAGTAAAATTTAGAATTTTGGGCATGGTAGATGCAGGTATAAATCACTGACGCAAATTAGACTTTAGCTCTCTTCTCTTCCAAGTTTGGGGAAACAGTGCCAGTGAACCCAAATAGACGTGTTTTCTCAATATAAGCACATCCCATATATACAAAGTCCATTTAGCTCGATGAACATGGTATAAAGAGACTGCTTCCCAGGCATTTTGGCTGCTTTAAATTTATATACTCAGTAAATGTCTGCATAGCACTTGACTAAATTTCAGACATATAGCCCACACATTTTTGAGGATGCTAAAGTTCAATCACTTAAGACTTTAGTATACACAGATAATTAAATGAACTGATTTAATTAAAACTCAGATTTATTAGCTTATCATTTTATATGGGAGGGAAAGATTTCATTCTTATATCTCTGTATATGTTTACAGTATATTTCAGTCTTACCCCTCTATTCATTTCCCTGGCCACATCCTTCCTAAAAAAATAATATTCCCCATACCCCCTAGACATTATGTTGAAAATGAACTAACCAACTTGGGGGGTGGGGATGGGAAGGAAAAACTGAGAGAGAAGGAGGGAAGGGGCGCTTTCGTCCAAAAAGAAATATACTCTTGGGCTGGGAATATGGCTCAGTGGTAGAGTGCTTACCTAGCATACATGAAGCCCTGGGTTTGATTCCTCAGCACTATATAAACAAGAAAAGCCAGAAGTGGCACTGTGGCTCAAGTGGTAGAGTGTTAGCCTTAAGCCAAAAAAATGAAGCACAGGGACAATGCTCAGGCCCTGATTCAAGCCCCAGGACTAACAAAAAGAAAAAAGAAATGTATTCTTTATCTGACTTCTGTAACTCCAACCCCTCTGTACATCACCTTTACCATAACAACAAAAAACAATCCTCTAAAAGTGGCACTGTTGCATTCTTTTTACATATGTTTTCCAATTTTGGCTTTTTAGAAATTATCTTTAAGTAACTGTACAAATGAGTTGCCATTTAACCATGCGTTTTATAGACATACCTTGACCAATGTCACCCCTTTCTCACCCCAACCCACCCCTCCCCTCACTTTATATTTTGTAGGACATACATTAAATTCTCTTTAAATAGCGTTATTGTTGTTATAAAAATGATATACAGAGGGGTTGCAGTTACTGAAGTCAGGTAATGAGTGTATTTCTTTTGGGACAAGATGACCCCTTCCCTCGCTCCATATTTTAAATTCCTTCTCTCCAATCCTGTCCACCCCTCTCCCCCTGACCATACCCAGCCCTTTTAAGTACTCATTTCCTGGTGTTTATTTCGTTGAACTTTGACTTGGCCCTTCTAAGGAACTGCACTACTGAGTTCTGCCTGGAGCCGACCATGTTTCAGCATCTACATGTGTGTACCCCTGCATCCCACCTACCGCATTCACCTGTTGACAAGCTAACTCCAGGTTCCACAGGGGGAAAGCATGCAACCTACTGTGACATTTTCACCCGTGCCAGCAATCTACTTCCCAGAATCCACCTTCCTTCGTCCTCTGCCTCCCAGATCCCTCCTGCACACACCCACCCAGAGTCCATTCCTTTCTCTTGATCAACAGCTTCCACGGTTTTAAGTTCATTTGTAAGTGACAGAAAAGCCATGAAAGAAAGTAGCAGGACGCTCCATCCCTCCTGAGAAGGGCCTCAAACTAGAGCCCAATGGCGTCTTCTCCCAGGGCCATTTCATAGTCTGGTCCTCTTCCCTCATCTCCTCCCCAAGGCTCCAGGAGCAGCGCTGGATGGCTTGCGCATGCTCCCTGGCTCTTTCCATGGGCTGGGCTTGTATGAGAGGCCTTCCTCCTAAGGCATTATGGGAAGGAGAATTGAGCAAGAGCCTGAGGCATCATGGGAACAAGAAGCTCCTTGAGGGGACTTAGGTGTTGTGTAGCATTAGGTAGATAGGGATAAAAAGTGGTGGACCTGAGCCCCGTGCCAGTGGCTCATGCCTGTAATCCTGGCTACGCAGGAAGCTGAGATCTGAGGGCTGAGGTTCAAAGCCAGCCCGGACAGGAAAGTCTGTGCAACTCTCATCTCCAACAATCTGCTGGGAAAAAGCTGGAGTGGCGCCGTGGCGCAGGTGGTCCAGCGCTCGCCCCGTGCGCACAGAGGCTCAGGGCAGCGCCAGGCCTGGGCTCGAGGCCCAGGACTGGCATGAAAAACAGTGTTGGACCCAATGGTCCCCTTTATCCCTTCTTCTCCGCCCCCCATGGAAACCTAAACTGCCATTGATTGGGGGACCTGGTGCTGACCACTCCAAGCTACTTCCCGCTGACAGGGAGCGAAGTCAGGGGTCATGCAGTTTGGCATCCTCCAGGAAGGGTTTTTTTAGGCAGACAGGACATGCTTTGTGCCCTGTCCCATCAGACCATGGTAAGATTCCAGAGGTCAGTTTACATGAGGCTCCTTTTTCATGGACACCTGGCCCTGGTTGTCTTGAGAACCTGAGACCCTAGCTAGTGTATTAATTCTGCTGATATTTGGCCCCTATATTCGCCACCTGCTTGTTTTTCTAGATTGGAGTCCATCAAGATACAAATAGTCATTGAGTTTCTCTATGCTGCCCTATGTGTACTTGTCATACAGTACAAAATTATTCATCCTCTTCAAATTCCGTTTTCTAAGAAGACTGAAGCCTGGTAACAGTGACAGAATACAAGTGTGACCTTGAAAACAAAAATCTCTCCTTTAAGTCATCTGTATGCAAATATTAGAGCAAAATAAAGACAAAACTTAGTTTATAACATCAATGCATTCAATCTTCACCTCTAAAATCTTTGGTTAATGTTTACAATCAAATTACATACATAAATTGTTCATAATCTCCATCTTTAATATACTTTTCAAAGCTTCCTATTCTCTGTATTGCAGTCTTTTTATCCTTCTGATTTCTTGGTTTTTAAAAACACATTTTGTATATGTGCCAGTACTGAGGCCTGAACTCAGGGTCTTGGCACTGCCTTTAGCTTTTTATTTTTTTTTTTCCACTCAAACCGGGCACTAGACCACTTGAACTATAACTCCAATTCAAACTTTTGGGTAGTTAATTGGAAGTAATGGTCTCATGGACCTTCATGCCCAGGCTAGATCTCATATCTCAGCCTTCTGAGTAGCTAGGATTAGAGGCATGAGGCACTAGTGACTGGCATTGAAACTCTTCAGGACAAAGTTTATCTCTTGGGAGTACTGAGGCTCAGGAGGCAAAGCTCATGGCCTTGGGTCTACTAGAGTCAGTAGAGCAAAGACTTAGAGTGGATAAAGAAAATTCCCATGGCCTATAAACCCCCAGGCAGAGAAGGAAACAAAGACTGGTGGAAAACTGGTGAGGGGAAACTTATCTTGCCACGAAGATTGGGCAAGGGGATTCTTAAGAGAATCCATCAGGCCTCTCACATGTGAACCCAAAGAATGCAGGACTTGCTCTGACACTCAGAAGTAAAAATGAGGCAAGGAAATCAACTCATTGAGGACATTGTTAAAAATTGTAAAGCCTGTCAGCTCACCAATGCCCCCAATCAACTGGTTACCAAAGGAGCTCACCTCCGTGGAGATAGGCCAGGTGTGTGGGAAGTAGACTTCACAGAAATTATTTGATAGTTTTTGTAGACACCTTTTCAGGATGGGTTGAAGCTTACCCAACAAAGCATGAGACCACGAATGTCGCAGCTAAGAAGATCTTGGAAGAAATCCTACCCAGGTATGGCTTCCCATCCACCATTGGATCAGACAATGGACCGGCCTTCGTTTCAAAAGTAAGTCAGGGAATAGCCACTGCACTGGGGACGGATTGGAAATTGCACTGTGCTTATAGACCCCAGAGTTCAGGGCAGGTAGAAAGAATGAATCAGACTTTAAAAGAGACCTTAACTAAATTGGCCTTGGAGACTGACGCAGACTGGGTATCGCTCCTTCCTTTTGCCCTGTTTAGAGTAAGAAATTCACCCTATCAGCTTGGCTTTATTCCTTTTGAAATAATGTATGGACACCCTCCACCCATTATCCCTAGCCTTCAGACTGAATTACTTGCTGATTTGAGTGATACTGAATTTCTATGTAAACTTGACTATCTACAGCTTGTCCACAAAAGTGTGTGACAGCTTAGAGCATTATATGATTCTGCTTCTATTCCTACTCCCCATTCGTTTAAACCAGGGGGCTGGGTGCTTGTTCGAAGGCACAACTTGAGATCTCTGAAACCATGGTGGAAGGGAACTTACATGGTGCTATTGGCTACACCCACTGCCCTTAAGGTGGACGGCATTGCTGCTTGGATCCACTGCTCCCACACCAGACCGGCTGACCCCTTTTCCCTGGATGACCGTGGGGGAAACATGGGAAGTCTCCAAGCATCCTACCCAACCACTTTGTGAACGCCCCAAGGAAAGAAGGACTGATTGTTATTGGTATTGTTGTTTATGGCTAAGGTCAGAGAGGGACTAGAAAGGAAAAGAACCCATTCAATATAGAGAGCTGTTGGAGTTTAGTTTGGGGCCAGAGCCACAAGATTGTGTCTCAGGACCATAAGTCAAAGGGGGGAATGAAGGGTTAAAGTGATTCCATTCTTGAGGCAGTGACCATTTGTTGCTTGCTTATCTCAGCTAGCAGAGCTACACGTGGTGGCAATCCAAATACCTGGTGTGTGCCTTTATAAGCCCTGCAAATCCTTAGCTCAGGGCTCTCATTCTAGGCTCCGCTGTGTCAGAGTGTAGGACGAGGCCCGAGCTGCAGCCCATCTAAATAAAACCTTGCTTTTGCATTTTGGAATGTCTGACTCTCGGTGGTCTTCTTGGTGGGGTCCTGCAACATGGGCACAACAGTCATTACTAATTACACATTCATCTGATAGTAGTTAGTGGACATTTTCAATGACACTCTATGGTACAATTATTAACCAGTTCTCCCCTTCATCCCACTGCCTCAGTCTGGGGATTGAACCCATGGCCTTGGGCATGCTAAAATTGCATTCTACTGAACAAACACCTCAGGCCCTAAATAAAGTATCTCATTAATTTATTGGGTGTTTTTTTTTTGGGGGGGGGGTGTTCTGGATTTTTTTTTTTGGTGGGTTGCAGGGCTTGAACTCTGGGCCTAGGCACTGTCCCTCAGCATTTCAGCTAGCACTCAAGGCTAGCACTCCACTTGAGATACAGTTCCACTTCCAGTGTTATCATGTTTAATTGGCAATAAGAGTCTCACGGATGTTCCTGCCCGGTCTGACTTTGAAGCACGATCCTCAGATCTCAGCCCTCTGAGTAGCTAGGATTAGAGGCATGAGCTACTGGTGCCTGGCAATACATTATTTTGTTGGTTGGTTGGTTTATGTCTGCAGTGCTGAGGCTTTCTGCATGCTAGGCAGGAGTTTTGTCTCTGAGCTATGTCCCCAGCTCATGGGATAATTGTTGTCCATTTTCTTCCTTAAGGAGATTCCTAAGTGAAGGCCTCACTTCCCACTACCATTGCTTTGATCATGCTAGTAGGAAATCTGAAAGTTTAGTTAATTTGATTAATCATCTTTCCTACTCCACCCTGGACTTGCCTTTTAGGAGAAAGAGTGCTATCACAAGTTATCACCAAGTAAGGAAGCTGGAACTATATTTTATTCTGAAACAGTGTTAAGCTAGGCCCCAGTGGTTTACACCTGTAATCTTAGCTACTGAGGCTGAGATCTGAGGGTCCAAGTGGGAAGCCAGCCTTGGCAGGAAAGTCTGTCAGACTCTTAGCTCTCATTAACCACCAAAACAAAGCTAGAAATGGAGTTGTGGTTCAAATGATATAACACCAGCCTTGATTGGGAAAGCTAATGGACAGTGGCCATGTTCTGGGTTCAAACCCCAATATTGGCACAGAGGAAAAAGAAGACAAAAAAAAAAAAAAAAACGGAAAGAAGCAAACACCCTGTTATGTTGAATTCAACAATATGACTTTAGAGATAGGATTGGGATTTGTTTTGTTTTGCTTTGGTTTTTGAGATAGAATGTCACTGTGTAGCTTAGGCTAACCTCCAAGCCTCCAATCTACTTTCTCAATCTCCCAAGTGCTGGGATTAAAGGCATATACCACCATGCCCTACTGGCAATAAGGTTTATAAAGTCATGATCCAGTTAAAATGAGAATAATGGTGGATCCTAATCCAATATAGCTGATGTTCTTATTAAAAGGGATATTAGCAAGCAAACATGTACACAAGGAGAAAACACTGGAGTAAGATGAAAGCAGAGACTTGGCGATGCCTCTGCAAACCAAGGAGCACCAGAGATTGCCAGTAGTCACCAGAAGCCAACGAAGCGCATAACAGCTTCTTCACACCCACAGGGAACCCATCCTGCCCACATCCTCATCTTGAACTTCCAGACTCCACAACTGTGAGGTAATACATTTCTACCATTCAAGCCACATTACAGTCACTCTAGCAAAGGGAAACACAACATCAAAGTACATTAGCTCCATACCTACCCCTTCATGGCCCATAGCAAAATCTTTGGATCTTCAGTGAACAGAAGAAAGATACTAAGAAAAGTGAACTAGAGCATTTTAAAGATTGTTTTATCAAGATCAAAACCAAAATGGGCTCAGAAAATTATCCAAATTGCCTTCTCTTCATGAAATAATTAAATTACCAATTATAGCAGCTATAGTTAATCTGTGGAAATGGAGAGACAAAAAAAAACAACAAAAACAAGACAGCCTATGAGCTCACACCTGTAATCCTAGCTACTCAAGAGGCTGAGATCTGAGGATCACAGTTCAAAGCCAGCCCAGGCAGGAAAGCCTGAGAGACTTTGATCTCCAATTAACCACCAGAAAACTGGAAGTGGTGCTGTGGCTTAAGTGGCTCAAATGCTAGCCTTGAGCTGAAGAGCTCAGGGACAGCACTCAGGCCCCACAACCAACAACAACAACATAAAAAGCAAGACAATTTAAAAACAAGTTTGAAAACCAAACATTAAAGAGAGTCCATTCAAACATCTTCCTTGGCCTGTTCTTGAGCAATGGAGGGTGGGATTCAACCAGAAAGGGAAAGTATGCATCCAAGCAAACTTACAAAGGAACTCAATAGATTCTCACTCAATATTATGGATACACATGCAATTTATAAATGTGGATCAAAAACCATGGAGACCTCGTCACACACTGTTAGATCACTTGTACAACCAGCAGGGCTTCTGTTGAGAGGGGGCAGTGCACTGAGATGGTGTCTACCTGAGGGAGAAAAAGCTCTCCCTCGGAGAAACATGGCAGCACCCCATGTCCATATTCTGCTTCTCTCTAGGGACTATTCTCATACCTCCCTTGGCTAACCTGTCCCCAGCAGTAGTTACCAGAGAACAAGCCTCTGTTAGAGATGAGCCAATGTCTAATAGTTCAAGTGTCAAAGCCAAATTGCCTGGGACCAAATTCTGGGCTCATCTTAGCGCTTGTAGCTCTTGAAGGTAGTTTTTTCACTCACTTCTTTTCACCTCGAAATGGATGCAAGAAAATGTCTCCATTTTAAGATACCTAGTACTTAGGACAACAATAATCATTCATGATAGAATGCACATACTTTGCTGTGAGTGTTCTTTAGAAATAACCAAGTAGAGAAAAGGAAAAAAAATTCCACTTTACTGCCTATTCTTTCCATCTTTGGAAATAACACATTAAAA